ACGGTACTGCTGAGTGCCGGCTCCGGGGCTGGACCACGGCAGAGGCCACAAGAGAACCGGGGACGCCTGTCCTTCAGGTCTGCACTCTAACCTCTTTCTAACCAGGTTAGAAATCCGTCTGCTGGGGGCTAAGCAGGGTTTTGTGCGGAGTTTCTAAAGCCTTTGCGAGTTTGCCCTTTAGAATCGGTTGGCTGGCTCTTATGCTTGGGTCTTTGAAGCATCCTAAGGCTGCTTGGGCCCCGATGCCTCATCAAAACCCCTGGATTTTACTGCACGTCAGCTCAGCTGCAGTTGTAAGCACGTCAGCCTCCAGATCCTGGATGCAGAAGTCTGTTACAGTGGATGGAAAAGGCTCTGTACGCTGGCTAGCCTCTCCATTTTCTGAGCAGCTCTCCTCTCCCCTCCCTGCGCTTGCTTCTGGGGTACATCCCTTCCCTCCCAAGCATCAAGAAACAAGCGTTTTGGGGTGGTCATCTGGTGAGCTGTTGCGGGAGATCGAATAATGTGCACGTTGTGTTTGAAATGTCATACTGTTTTCTCCAAGCGTTTTTTCAGATCGAAATCTCAGCTGGCGCTCAGTGCTCCGTAGGCCTTCAGGCCCGGGATGCGGATGGGTGATTTTTCATGGTCGGACAGAAGGTTATCTGAGAAGTGCTTACTGTACGTGGCCTGGGGCGTTCATGCACGGATGGTGGTGTGCTGCTGCGGGTCGGTCAGGAGGTACTGGAGACCAGGAGATGCGTTTAGAGGGAGCCGAGGTGGAGATGAGCCATACAGATCACAGCCGCTGGCTGATGGAGATAGGCTGCAGACCCCAGACTGTAGCCCTTGTTGACCTGAACACAGAGATCTTGCCGTACTTTGCACATTGTCACCTGGGAGTCGCAGGGACTTGTGCTTCAGGGCTGTACTCTGTGCGAGCTGCCACCTTTCCTAAACTGGAGCAGACCTGTGGTGCGAGGCCTGCCCAGTGGCAGACCGGCCTCCTGCGATGCTGCAAGTCTGCCGGTGGCTTTTGCGTGGCCGTTTCTTGAGACCCGCTGCCGAACAGACTGACTTGTGCTCGTGAGTGAACCAGAGCAGGACTCAGCTCTGCCTGAGGAACGAGCTGCGGTAGCATAACGTGTGTCAGAGAGGCAGGATTCAAATTACCATGATTTTATGTACGTGGGGATATTAACTCGTTTAAAATTGCATCAGCTTCTGTTTGTGTCCAGGGCTTTAACAGTTGAAGGCAGAAGGCAAGACCCAACATTGCTCCCTTCCCCGGGTGGGGTTGGAGGGCTGGAGAGGCCTTTGAAGGTTTGATGTAACTTGCTGTGTTTGCTAAGCCGTATTGCTTTGGCAGGAAAGAAAGCAGCCTCCTTTAGCCTGATGACTTGGTGCGTAAGGGAACTCGGGGCGTGGGCCAGGCATAATGTCTTTTGAATCGGAATAAATATTGAAAAACAAACCAAAACTGCTAAAGTTGCATATAAAAAAAGGTCGGGCGTCCTGCCCAGACTCGGAGCTGTCTCACGGTAACGGAAGGGCTGGGTGACCCTGTGGAGGGGCCTGGATGCCCTCGTGAGATGCACCGATTACCCCGCCGCCCTCCTGGGCTGTCCCTTTATCTCTGCTCTGAATACTGCTGGCTTTGGGGAGGGAAGTGGCCTGAGCCCTGATGGTGCCTCAGCCAGCTGAGCGCCATTGGCTTTATCTTGTGGAAAATACACTGCTTTCATCCATCCCAGAGGTTTTGTGGGAGCTTGCCGGGCTTGCAGCGGTTGCACGTGAGACCTAGAGAGAGACACAGCCAGCCCCCAGGCCGGCGTGCGCGGACGTGGCTGTGCTGATCTCCGCTGGCGGGGACGTCATCTGCTCTCAGGTGAGATGCGCGTGGGAGAAATGCTTTTTCCTCCCATCTCCCCGCTTCGTCTGAAGCCAGGCTTTTGTTTGTTTCTGGGTTCGTACAGACCCTTTCGGTGGGCAGAGGGGCCTGGGAAGGAATGGATCCTGTGGCGTTTCTCCAAGTGAGGGCCTTTGCGAAGCAGGAGGAGGCTGGAGTGAAGGGCTGTGGATGCCTGCGGTCAGACCCGGGGGCAGGGAGAGAGGAGGCTGATGCGGAAAGCGCGTGTCAGAGCCCAGTGTCCTGCCGAGATGGCTCTCTCCTAGCACGCAGTGCTGGGAGGAAACTTGTGAACAGCCGATTTGCTGGAACCTGGGGCTCTGAGAAAGGTCATATACAGTGCAGCCTTGGGAAAGCTGCCTATGCGGGTGGGACAGGTGAGTCGGTGGCTCCCTCCTCGCTTTCCGTCATAATCCCACTCTTCAGAGCGAGACGTGCTGTCTGCCTGCTCCCCGCAAGCCTCCTGGATCTGCGTGCGTTTGCCTCAACCTTGCTAGTGGCTGTTGGACCCTGCCTGAGTATGCAGCCCTTTCCAGGCCACCGTCACCGAGCCGGGCAGGGAGGAGCAGGCTACTACCGAATTTCTGTCACGCTCGTTGCTATTTCAAGTGTTGTCGCTTGCCTTGTGTTTAGCAATGGCAGCTGAGGAAGCCAACGGAGGCAGAAGGGCTGTTGCCTGTGCACGAGAAACATTTAACTCTTGCCTTCACAGCTCCCTTCCCCGTGCGTTGGTGGCTCTCAGGTTGGCTGATAGGAAATGCCGGTGGCGTTCCCGAAATTTGCTCGTGTTCGGTCGCTTAAAAAATGAGGAGGGTTTTTGTGTGCCGTTTCCTCTGGCTCTGGAAAAAATGCTGCTGCCCTGGTGCCTGGGCAGAAGGGAGAAGGGGGAGCCCTGGAAAGGAAATAAGATCTGAAGAAATGTGTCACCAGCAGAAAGAGCAATTGTTTTCCTGCATTTACATTGCAGAGCGTTGTCCTGTTCAGGCAGCCGAGGTTTGACAGCCAAGATAATACATTTATATTGATGTAATTAGTGGGACGTGGAGTTTGCTGAATGGCTTGGGGGCAGCATGCTTTTCAGTCTAACTCCGGCAAATAGATCGGGGAGGATTGGAAAGCTGCTGTGGGTTGCTAGAATTGGCCCTTTGGGTTTCTGGAGGTTGAGTACATAACTGCTGATATTTCCTATTGTGCTGTACCCTGCCTAGCTGAAAAGAAAATAACTTGAGGGAACATGGGGCTATTTTTGCCAGCTTGAGATGATCAAGTTTGATTTCTAAAAACTGAAGCCGAGTCTTTAGGCTTGCACATTAAAAACAGTATTGGAACCATATCTCTGTTCCTCTACAAATGCATGCCTCTGCACTTTGCCAATGGTGTAAACTCTAATGTGTGTTCATAAAAAAGAAATAGCTTTTCTGTTCCTGCAATGCAGCCCCTTTTGTGGCAAGCCAGGCCGCTAACTAAATGCTGTGGGCCTGAACAGCGTCAGCATTAGAGGAGGGTGGCGATTACCATGTCAGGGAGGCCAAGCTGGTGTCTCGCCCCAGTCCTGGGATTAGCAGCCCTTACCAAAGCTGCAGGGTTATCAATGCACGTTCGCTTTGGTAACATAGAGACTGAGACCTAACAAAAAGCTGTCGTCCCCCTCCAGCGATATCGCCCAGCCGCATTTCTAACGTGGCACTTCCTGCGGCACCGAAGTTTCCCCTTCGGCATCTTGTTCCCAGCGCCAGCCCAGATGATTTTGGTTTACTGAGGATATCACAGGCAGCTTCCCAACTTGCGTTGTGTTGCATTCCTCTGACAGCAGAAGGTCCTTCTGCTCCTGTAACAAAAAGGTTTGCAGAGAAGCTAACTCTCAGACAGCTTTTCCAGTTAACAAGTTAACTCCCCTGTATTTGTGCTGGTCCATGGAAGTGGGAACATGGCACGAGGATCCTTGCGTGCTGGGCTGTATCCTCCCCTCCGCGGCAGCTCTGCTCTCCAGAGAGGCTGGAGCACTGATGTGGTCAAGGTCTTGCTCTCCAGCTTGTCTGTATCAGTCACCTGCCTGCAAGACTCAGGCCAGCAGGCAGAGCTCGGGCAGTCCTTGGAATCTCAGCACAGCCAAAAGGTTTTATTTTAAGCTGCTGGGTGTTAAACGGTTTCTCTTCCTAGCCCATGCGTATGCGAACACTCCTCCTGCAAGAAAAATGACGTGGTGTCACGTAGACTGATGTAGGCATTCATGGGGTACTCCATCCTCTGGTGTTTGTCTTGCTCTCTCTTTAGCTCTCGTAAGTCTTAAGCCCTTCCAGTGAGCAGGGGCGGCTCGACTGCCTGAGTGCCTCGGAGATGCCGTGGGCCAGGAGTTCCCTGTGTAGCCAGCGCTGTACAGACCCTTGGGTTTAAAAGGATCAGGATGGTCCTTTTGAACCTTAATCAGTCCTTTATTTATTTTTTACTGGTTCCCGAGTGGTGTCTCTTGCCCTCTCCATAACGTTCTCCATTTGCTGGTTTGATTTCATTAGCGGCACGTGTCCAGGTGTTCACCACAGGTCGTCTTTTCCCCACTGCCTGGAAATCTCAGTGGTGCAGAGCACTGGAAGAGAAAATCTCTTTGTGAATTCGCCATAACCTGCCCCAGGGGCATCATGCTGCACCCGATGGCATGGCTGTGGGGAGAGTGGGCAATGTGGTGGGGGCAGAACCAGGTCTGTCGCTCTTGCGTGCTTCTGCCGTGCTCCCAAAGACGCTCAGTGATCACATTGTGTGGGCTGAATCCTTATTTGATTTTTCGCTCCCTCCCCAGTCTAAAATAGACCCAAGCAGTTACGGACAAGGGTTCTTGTTGCCTCCATCTTATAAAAGCCCATCCCAAAGGAGACAGCGCTTTCACAGAGTATGAATTTCATTTAAAGAGGTTGTTTTGAGAGCAGAGAATATGAAGGGGGAGGGAGGTTTGCTGAGGCAAGTATTCAAACGTCATACCTTCTGGGGGTGGGATGGGCACGTTTGACATAATCAGAGAAATTTGTACTTTTGAATTTCCAGTAGATGTAACTGCTAACGATGTCCTGGCCATGCGGAGTAATTAACATCTGTTTCTGTGTTTGAACATTCAGGCAGTGTGCCCCTCCAGACATCCCTGCGTTCACATCCAGGCCCCTTGGGAGATCCTGCCCTGTTGCTAATTGTCGAGAGCTGTCCAGAATCCTTATCGTTAAGATCCTGCTGTGCTCGTGAGGTGTTGTGTTACCCGGTATGACGACAGCTTTCACCAGAATGCTAAGCAGCAGCCGCCATCAGAGAGAGTAAGGCCAGCGGTGGGAAGAGAACTGGAAAGTCACAGCCAAAGGTGCTGAAACCACGAGTGAAGAACCTGAGTTGACCCAAAAGCAGACCGGTTCCTGTCTCCAGGCGGGACCGAGCTACAGCCCGTCGCCAGCCAGATGCCACGGGAAGCACAAAGCCTTCTGAGAGCTGTAGCTCGAGTGGATGCTGACTGAGTGACCTAAAATGTGAGGTTGGTTGTGTGTGCTGGTGCGATGCTGATCAGCCTGGAGTCTCAGCAGCCGTTTATTCTTACGTGCCTTTCTTTCCTCTCTGTTCACCAGCTTGGTGCAGCAGCCGGTCCTTCTAGCAGACTTGGTGTGCTACCGGCGGCTCTGTGCAGAGACCATCTAGCATGCTCCTCAAACCGGGCCGCTCAGCTGGTGTCAACAGCAGCCGTTCGATTCCAGGGACGCCAGGCTGACTTCACACCAACTGGGCATTGGACGTGCAGAGCAGAAACCGTGTTGGGTGAGAGGCTTTTCTGACTGCGCTTGGCTCTGTGCAGGGCTGGGAGGGGCTGAAAGGAAAAAGACCTTTTCTCCTCCGGTTTGTAAGCACAGTTACCCCGCTTCTTGTCGCCCGCGCCTCTCATTTTTGTCTTTCTTCCTTGTTTTGATTCCTTCTTTGAGTGTTCCCCTCTCCTTGCTGTCTGTGTGAAGGCCACATGCTCTTATGGGTGGGGATACTGGCGTCCTCTGGTTTTCTCGTGAAGAAGAAACTCTAAGAGTGGAAGAGAAAATGTGAGGTCTTCCAGGACCTCGCAGTCTTAAGCCTTGGAAACTGCATGACTGTCCCAGGGTGTGTTTGAGGCAGTGCAAAGGCAGGGAAATAAATTAATCTAAGAAACTCTGCATTGCTTTGCCTGCAATAACCACAGTGCCGTGGCAGTTCCCAGCCCAGGACTGGGACGGAGAGATGACTGTGTTGTACCTTATGTGGCTGGGCCGCTTTTAGCCTGGCCGTTCAGAGCCTGCTCTGCAGAGACAGGATGAGGTGGCGAGAAGCCAGTCTGAGCTTATACCTTCAGGATATGCTTGTGGTGTCCACTGCAGGAGAGCCTCTGATGGTGGTGTCCTTGTGTTTGAATGAGCAAGGCTGATGTGGCCTTATCCCAGGCCAGGGCTTTGGATTAATCGAATGGACACTAGCGTGCCCTGTGTTGGCTGATCTGGTCTGCCTGGATGCTTATGGGCTATCTGGAGTCTCCGTCTGACTTCGGTGTCCGGCCTCAGCAGAAGGTCTGAAGGAATCTCTTAGGGTTTGGGGTCAGTGAAGCCAGGGCACGAGCGCTCTGGTCTTTGAGTGGTGGCTGTCACCAGCCAGGTGTCGGCTGAGATCTGCGCCATGGCTAGTTCTCAACTGTGGGAGGGATGAAGTAACGTTCCTGCTCTTGGATCGGTTTTGATGCAGCCTTGGAGTGTCTTGTGAATGCTACTGCAGGTGTGCAAAGCCCTTGTTCCCGTTGCCTGACTTTGCCATGCAAGGTGCTTCAGCCAGCAGAGCCTGGTGGAGGGAAGGTTGGGGGTCTATAGCACTGCGTGAGGCTAAGGCAGCTGGATATGTCTTGCCAAGGCATTTGAGAGTGGCTCCTGTAACATGATCTCCTCTCCATCTGCCTGTTTGGGTTAACACGGGTTCAGGATGCAGCCAGCTGGTCTTGGTTAAGAGGCCAGCTCCATCACTGCGCTGGGAGGTATGTTGCATGGCCCGTTAGGGCCGGCTTTGCTGTAGCAAGGGCAGCTTCTTACTCAAAGCATCTGCATTATGTTTCAGCCCTCTCATCTTAGAGTACGGCATTTTACTCATGTGATCATTATATTTGTTTAAATAACTGCTCTCGTGGGCAAATACTGCTTAAGGCGTTGTGTAATTGAACACATCCTACAGTTTCAGCTGTATTGGTGGAGCTGAAGGGGAGCCGCTTGTGACGGAGACAGTAAGCCACTGTAGCTACTCCGGTGAGGAAAGGGCAGTGTCGTAGTGGTGTCAGGCACTGTTATATCTGTATCACTTTAGTTGTACCAGGTGTTACTCCAGTCATATAATTTCAGTTACGATATCATCTCCTAACAGAAATAACGGCATGGCTACGACATCAGTGTGCAGAAGGATTCACGTGTTTTTCAGGATGGTCCAGGACGGAGTACAGGTGTAATCTGGAGGTGGAGAGGGGTAAGCAGTACTGCGGTGCTTCTCCATTAGGTTATCGCACTGAGCTGTGCTAGAAGAGGAATTACCTTCTTGTCCCCCCCTCCGGGTTTCACTCTCCCTGTCCCACCTCCCCTGTGCTCTCCTGGTTCCCTGGGCTCACGGGGAAGGCGGCAGCCTCTTGTGCAGTTCTCAGTGATTCTTATGCTTTTTATCTCCTGGTTGTTTGTGATGGAAATGCCCAATGCCACTGTTGTCTGTCAGGCTTATCCTACCTCTGCGCTTGCCTGAGGCACAGCCAGAGACGTGATGGTTTAAATCTAGGCCAGTTGGTTGGAAATTGGGACGTGGTGCCTGACTAAAGCCAGGGAAGGCCAAATTGCATAAAAATGTGCGATTACATTACATATTTACCGTCTGTCTAACCTGTGTTAGAATTAAAGCTGTAGCTGGAGTGTCTGGGGACAGTGTGCTCAGGGGACATTTCCTCCTCCTCCTCCTCCTGTCTCTGAAACTTTGCTTCCCAAGTCCGTGCCCTGGGTTTTTGCTGGCTGTGAGACTCTGCTGCTTGCTGCAACTCTCTTCCCCTCCCGTCTGCAGTGGCCAGCTCTTCATCTGCTTATCTGTCAGCTTAGCATGATCTGAAGATACAATCCCTGATGTCCTTTTGGGTATGACCTCGTGTTTGTGCTGTGCCTGGGCACCTATGGCCCTCTACTAATTCAGCGGGCTGAGGAACTTCATGGGTCATCAAGTCCAGTTCCCTACTGCTGAAGACAGTCATCCTGTGCAGGTCATGAACTTGTCCGGGAACTAATTGTTGGAACTAACTCTGTGCTTTTTTCCCCAGCGCTTCTGGAGCAGCTGGTCCAGAGATCTGCTCTTTGAAAGGTTAGAAACCCTCCTCTGACTTCCAGTATCCAGTTTTCCTGGGCTGGTTTATTGTACTTGTGCCATTGCCGAGTGTCATCGTGCAGATGAGAGATGACTTGCAAATTTTTTTTCCTTCCCTGGTTCACTGTAACCTTTATGTCCTGCACCAGTCATGGCTCTCGATGCAGATTTGTCCTGAGAAATGTGTTGAAAGCTACTTTGTTTTTCCATTGCTTCTTTTTGGGAGGTTGGTTTTGCTGGGCCCGTTTATTTCCGTGTTGTGCTTTTGAGTGTTTTAAGTGCAGGTGGAGTTCTGAGCTGCACAGTTTGCGAATGTTAGCGAATACAGAAGAGCACTTTTTGCACTACTGTCACTTCTGTCTTCTTTTTTAATGTTTGTCCTTGCTACTTTTGCCATCTTGCCCCTTCAGGAGGGATAGATCTTGTCAGAAACAGTCGAATCAAGGTGAACCTGATAAAGCAATGTATTGAAGAGCCAGTGCCTGGCTCTTACTCGTGGCTCTTATTCATGTTTATCTCTAGCTGTGAATGTGCAATAACAACAGTTCTGTTCTGCACAGGCTGGCACAGCCTCAGACAGGAAGATCTGCTGTTTACCAATCAACACTCTGCTGTAAGTGAGAAAGGGGGAAAAAAAAATGTTTTATTGCTGCTGGGTAACCCAGAGTGTAGTTAAACCTTTCTGAAAAAAAGAGGAAACTAAGAGCACATGTGTTACGCAAGATGCATTTTTCCTGGCAAGAGTCCTGTGTGTGTGTTCTTCATGCAAAGCATCCCTGCTTATGCTACTTCCCATTAAATTTATAGCATATTGGTAGCGGGCAAGTAAAAGCTTCCTGTTTTTATAATGCAACTGGTCTCAGCAGGCAGTCTGTCGAGGTGATTTTTCAGCCTGGCACGTTTTGTAGCTGGGGCAGTCTGTGGGGTGAGTAGGATGACAGAACTCTGCTACAAGGATTATAAACACAGAGAGGAAAAGATCTGGAAATTAAATCTGCTGGCAAAGCTTCCCAAGATTGGATGCTGTGGCTTGTCTTGTTTTGTTTCTTCCCCTTGCCTTTCTTTCTGTGGCATTACCGCGATGTTGCTAATGAGACAAACCATGCCAGCCCACACACGCTTCTGTCAACACTGTGCTCAAAAGCCATCCACAATTGGCTAGTAAACTGGAGGAGGTAAGTGGCTCATTGCACTTCATTGAAGCAACGTTAATTGACTTAATAGAGCACTAGGGTTTTACAGATTTGGTTGTGTGTGTTTTGTTGTTTTTTCTTTTTTAAATGTGTGTACATTCAGACCCTGCTTCAGCAGTGCCTTTGTTGCCATTTTCACGCTTATTCAGAAAAGGACCTTCCTGCTCTTCAGCTGTCAGTGGAGACGGGTTTTGAAGTTAACCCTTATTTTGAAGAAACCTTCCTGTCCACTGCTTCTTCCTCTTCTTCTCCCCATAGCTTGTAATTAAGATGTTGATTGCCTTTTCAAATCTGTATAATCCCCTCTCTCAAAGTGACCGTGGATAGATTTCCAGTAGCTCACTGGATAATCTATCACTGGTTTACAGTGTCCCATGCAAGGGAGAAGAGGAAACTTTTTTCAGACTTTGACGCTAGTTGCTGTGTGGCTAAGCTGGCTCTACAATAAATCTACTTTTCCTATCAGTCTTTCACTTCAGGCTTTGGACACCTCTTCCTCTGCCTGCATACTTACGAAGAGTCAGTGCTGGGCATTAAATGCAGCTCAGCCCAACTCAGCTGCTGTGTATGAGTTTCTTCTGTGTTAAAGTTGGGCCAGAACCAGTTTCAAGGCAGCTGAAAGAAGGTAAAGATCCTCAAGCTTGCCTTTGCATGTTAACGTCCGTGGCTAGAAAGATGTGCTGCTGTTCTGGACTTTGCTAAAGTGTAGCATGAAGCGTGAGGTCCTGTTCTGTGCTGGTCTAGGAGTCCAGGTTAAATTATCTTGTTACCTCATTAATAGCCCATCTGGAAATCCAGGCAGCTAATTTCATCTAATGATATCTCTGCAAGTACCGCACCAATCTTGTTTCTCACCGTGATTTGGAAAATACTGCAGCTTCCAGTCCCCTAGATTTCCTCTGAGGCCAGAACATCTGACTCGCCTCTCTTCTCTCAGCCCTGCTGCCCCATACCAAACATTTAGGTGGGTAAGTTTTACCCTTCTCTCCGTTTTCCCTGTCCTCCCATTTGCGGTGCTTGCGCACTGCCTGTCATCCTAGTGCCTTTCGAATGTGAATACTTCTTGGCCCTGGGAGGTAGGGCAGTGCTTTCTGAGTCACAGGACTATGCCCCGACTCACACGGGAAGCTCTGTGGTAGAGCATGAGGGCTGAAAAAGTCTTCCACGTCCCAGCTGAGTGTGCCAACCGCTGGCCTGTCCCTCCTGTTATACCTATGCCTCAGTCTGACCTTG